AAAAATGACATGCTTCCTTTATTTCTTGTTCTCCACTGATCATATCTCCCTCACTCTCACAATTATTTTACTTCATATTCACTACATTAGAGACTGCTCTGAGAGATTGTTTGTGGTAAAGAACCTACATCAGTGTATGACTAATGACATCCAGTCTATGTCTATTCACTCTGTTGTGTCCAATTAAAAAAATGTTCAAGCTAAAGTGTATAGCAATGCAGCAAAAATCAATCTTGATTCCCAGGTCTAGATATGGACATGTTAGTGAAATGAAAAAAATTAAATGCTGTTTTTTTAATGTATCTAAAATTTAGGGAACACAAAATGTCTAATGAGTCTTTAAATAATGCTTTGCCCTTAACTATTGTTCATTCTACTTTTAGCAACAGGAAAGAAGTTCTTTGAAGGTGACATTATCATGCCGGTATGTAAGGTTAATCTACTTCTTTATAAAGAGGTTATAAAATAAACTTTTTAAAAGAACATAGTTTAATTTTCTTAACAGCTTGACAGAAATGCACTGAGGAACGAATCCTACAGATGGAAACTTCCAATTCCGTACAAAATGGGCAACAGTATAGGTAATAAGACATTTTCTGCTCTAGAACTCTACATTGATCATTAGTTTGATGGATACAATGGCTTAAGCAGTAAATTCTAATAGAGAGCAAATTGAGTGGATCATCTGCCCTCTTCCCCTTGCAACTCCCTATAAATTTTCCTTCAAAGTTCCCTTCTTTAACTCCAAAGTTCCCTTCTTCTCTAACAAAGCTCACTTCATCTTGGGCTTCAGTTTCAATGTTTCCATACACTCTTCCAGATTTCAGGTCTTTTAGTAGATAAAGACAAAATCTCATTGAGTTTGACCCATTAGCTACCTCCATGTAATCTTCTTGGTAGCAATACAGAAGCAGTTTGCTTTCTTCCAGGATGTTTCTAGTCAAGTCCTGATAGAGAGTAAGGAGCACCGAGTCAGAACGAGATAATGAAATTTCAAGATGCACCAATAGGCAGTACACCAATTATATATATATTTATACTTTATCTATACTAGTCTCCCTTTATTTATTTATCAGCACAAATGTAACCCACACACATAAACACACATATATTTGTTTTTGTAGATATACATACATACATACATACATACATACATACACACACACACACACACACACACACACACATATATAGGTGTGTGTGTGTGTGTGTGTGTGTGTGTGTGTGTGTATCATACGGCTCCAATAATAAGTACCCAAGAAAGTAGCTTTGCAATTCATTTTCTTTATCCCTGNCCCCCCGGTCAATGGTGTCCCTCTTTGCCAATGTTAAAATCTGGTCACCTTAACTTATATACATTTGCTTTAATTCCTGTTAAAAATATTGTCCTTGCCTGTCAAGAGTGTTTTGAATATTCTGTCTTTTGTGTTACAGGGAATAGTATCCCATCTATTTTGTGTCATCTGCAAGATTGATAAACTTTTTCAATTGTCATTAAAAAAGGCAAGGCCAAGATTAAATTTAACATTTTTCTTCAATCTGATGATGAATAATTTATAAATCTATCTGTCAGGATAGATTGATGATGATTCTATCCATTTCAAACTTTGTCAAATCAAATACAATATATCATGACTGAAGTATTCCTTCAATTTACTAAGTAAATTATCTGGTCAAAATAGGGGGTTCAGTTAATCTGGAAAGATATGTTCTTGACAAATTTGTGTTCACTTCTGGTAATTGTCATATTATTTTCAAGGTGCTTACAGATGGCTGCCTTTATGATTTGTCCTGGAATTGCCCCAAATATAGCTGTTAGATTGATGCCCTGTAATTCCTTAGTTCTTATTTCCTCCTCTTTTGCAAGATAGGCATATTTGCTTGTTCCATTCATTTCATCCATTTGGCCCTTCATCTGTTCTCTAGGGGTAAATACATAATATATAAATAATAAATAAAATAATGCGTATTATTTATTAATAAATGAGAGAATGGCCAGACCATTGTCTTATTTATTAATACCAGTATTTACATGGTTCCATATACATGGATATTTTATTCATGGAATTTATGAACAGTTCTTTAAGCATCTAAATAAGCAATAATGTCAACATGATTTCTGATTCTCTAGAGAAAGAAGGGAAAACTATATAGATAAAAATGAGTTTATTATACTTAGGGTGTAATTAGGAAAAAATAAGATTAAATAAGATAAATATTAGCCTGTGATTGCCTAATTCTTAATAAATTTCTCTGACATTGAATACAAAGTCCAGAGTGTTTACACACTATTTATGCACTGCTCTCAATCACTCCAAGCCACTCCAAAATGTTTTCACCTCAGCTCCTGTGCCTGGCGGCACTCCTGACTGTCTCTTCCACCTTTACGGTATGATATTTTTCCAGATGCTTTGTGACTTGATATAATACTATTTTATTTTCCTCGTTTGAGTTTCTAAAAATGTCCAATTGCCATTGCAGATCAGGAGGAGAGCAGAACATGAAGGTAAATCAAAACAAACTTAAAAAATAAATATCTTTTTCTAAGGTGGGAAGCATACAATCTGAAATAATTATCTGTAAAGAAGTACGTACATATTTGATACTAATGTATGTATTTATTTATCTAGAAGGGCACTTCTTAGATGAAGGAAAACCTAGGCAAGGCATCCCTGAAATCAATGCAGGTAAGCAAATCCATTGGAGAGAAATATTGTACCATATATATATATATATATATATATATATATATATATATATAT